CAATCTTCCCAGTCTTGGTGCAGGTCTACAATTCTTTTCCCTGGTGTCCTTCGGCAGCCTCTTGTCTTGCCATAGTGGAGTTTGGAGTCTGACTGTTTTGATCTGTGGACAGGTGTCTTTTTATACAGATAACGATTCAAACAGGTAGCCATTAATACAGGTAACGAGTGGAGGACAGAAGAGCTTCTAAAGATGAAGTTACAGGTCCTGTGAGAGCCAAAAATCTCCTTTGTTTGAAGTGACCAAATACTATTTTTCCACCATAACTTACAAATAAATTCTTTAAAAAAATCCTAACAATTGTGAATTTCCTGGATTTTTTTTTTTCGCACGAATCTGTCTCAGTTGAATTTACCAATGATGAAAATTACAGACCTCTGGGCATTATTTGTAAGTGGGAGAACTTGCACAACGTTGGCTGACTAAATACTTTTTTAGCGCCCCACTGTTATCATATTTCTATCTAAAATCTTATTGTTTCTCCAGGTTCTCATTAAACAAGTTTCCCTGTGCGAAAGCAAGAAAAGAGCCTGTTGATATGCAGCTGGTGGAGAACACATGGATACATGGAACCAAAGACGACGTGAACAAGAACGGCAGTTGAGAGAGATTCCAAGAGCAACGACAAAGTCTCCAAAACGCTAGCTGGGCATCTATAGCCAACCACATCCCTCATACAAGTGACACGCCAATAATGACAGATCGGGACGTGTCAAACCCAGCCCACCGTGCCAAGAGAAGAACCCTCGGCCATTTGAGCCGCAGCAGGTTCTGGAAGCTGATACAGAATATCGATTCCCTTTTACAGAATCCCAGCAGCCCTGGTGCAGCGGACTGTTTTTTATTCAAATGGTTGCTGAATGTGATGTTTGAGAATAAGATGTACTGGTGGAGAGTGCAACAGGGGTCGAGGTCAGAACAAGAGACCTTATGAACCAACTCTGTCACGTTCCGTCAAGAAAACACTGCGAGCGTCTATCGCAGTGTGACACTTTCCACATTAGTTTTCATTCTTTTTTTTCAAGTGACTTTTAATGTTTTTTCTCAGCAAATTTTGCAGTAATAAACACTTGAAACTCAAAGGACTACATGCATTTTACCTGACTGAACACACCTGTAAAGCACAAGAGGGCCACACTTTATTTTCTTCCGTGATTCAAACACCGTGTAGTCAATGCTAGGGGAAATCACAAAAGTTGTAATATTCTGACAATATTACTATTATGTACATTTTTATATCTGGTATTACAATTTATCTGGCGCGTGGGTATACTGCTCCACGACAGACGTGTTCGTGATATCTTGGTTTGTTCACGTCTTTCAGGAGCCGAAACCATCTATAGTCTCACACCAAATAACACTATTATTTTTTGTGTTTCCCGCCTCTTAACATGGAATGATAAGGACACACGGGAGGGAAAAAGCACTGGACTTAACTGGACCATAACTTTAATAACTCGAGGTCTTTGTACTTTTGGAAGTTAAATTACTGATTCCTTTTAAATAGGGAAATTTATTATCCTGTTTACATGTGATATGTACTCCAACTCTTGAATTTTGTTTATTTACAACTTATCCACGTACGTCTTTTATGTATAAATACCGACTGCATCAACTAGATGAAGGAAATACTGCATTTATGTCCATAGTTGTATTTGCAGTAACATGTTTCCAAGGGTCCGATTCTGGGCCATCGGATGAATTATATCAAATCTAATTTATATATATATATTATTATTTTATATATATTAATTATAATTTAGAGATATATATTATTAGTTATATATATTTATTATTATTATATATATAATAATATTATTATTATATATAATTATAATATATAATGATTATATATAATAATATTAGTTATTATAGGATATATTATATTATTATTATATTATATATATATAATACTATAGATAATTTTTATTTTTTTAGTGGGGGGATAACTTGTACATCTGTTTCACCTTTAATATGTGATCAAAATAAAGATCTTTTTACTAGGCAGTGGCGACTGCGAATCTGCGCAACGTAAAAATTGAGCGACATGTTTGGAGGGCCTCTGGTTTAGATATAGACGCACGGATTTGGCGCGATTTTCTAGTTTTGTGACCCTCCATTTACAATGGCAATAAAAAAATGATTATTGTCAAATTGCCAGTATTCTTGCTCCAGTTCTGTTCACATCGTCCCCCTTTAGCGCATGGTTTTAGTGTGAGAGGGAGAGGAGCTCTCAGACGCTGCATGAACATAAACCCTATCGTTTCCTAGTCTCCTGTGCTAGTACTAACATTAAGCGGCCATCTTGCTTGATAAGCTGCTTACGAAAAATGGTGGAGTTTCTGCTCGGTGGGGTGTCCTATTACATCTACCCAATTTCTTGCTGGGAACCTCTTCGCCGGTTTTAATAGTAGCTAGGCAGCGCAGTGTCGCGTTTGTGCTTGTCTTTTCTCGCGGTTTTACAAATCTAGCAAGTTCGGGATGAGCATCGAAACGCTCCTCGGAGGCGGCCAAGTTTTTAGACTTACAAGCTCTGCAACAGAAAGCACGTGGTAAGTGCACAATACGATTGACTTGAATACTCAAAACAGGAGTGATTCGAAGAACGAGAGGTGAACTGTGGTCAGAAAGGACCTGTTTCTCTGCCACATGTGCATTACGAGACTGTACATACATTACATAGCTGTAATCAAACGGATTCCATGCTGTTATATGTGTATTTGTTTGTGTCCAGTGCGCGCATGTTTTTAGTCGGTTCCTCCCTTGTATTAACTGGCATAAATATGTTTGTTTCTGCCCAAGTTGTGAAGTTTTGGACATTGAAGTCTGAACTGGTTCATGCTTCAGTATTCGCAAAATTCGCACCGCGAACCTTTTAGCTTGTTCCATAAACCGACTTCTAGCACCACTATGCGAGTAAAACAAAAGGCCAGAGGCACCCTGCTTTGGCTGCATTCAACTTTGAGAATATAGAAATGATGTATCTAGGGCGGTGCGTGGGGAATGCCTTTATCGTAAGGACTTGACATTTGACCAACGTTATGGCGTGGGGGCTGTGTTGATCTGTGTCTAAAATTGTGCACACTGTGAGGCATAAGCCGAGTGTTTGAGCAGGAGACTTGGCAGTAAATGTTTATTTATTTATTTGTGCACAAGATTAGCGCGTTAGTATCTGCGTGACGTCAGCCTCAAGCCCCGGCCCCTTCACCACGTGCGTTCCGGACAAACCCCGCAAATAGATTCGTTTGTAAGAAGAAGATTCTATCACTCCCATTATTGACAAGTAGACGGGAAACTCTCTATGCTCATTACTGAAGTCGTGATTATTTCAGAACTAACTACTGTAGATACTCGTGGGTCAGAGAATAGTCTCCCTGTAGTTTTGCGCCTTCGCTGTGACGTGCTCAAGTGAGAGCTCCTACTGGCCCACCAGCATCTGACGTGTAGCCGTAGAGAGCAGCGCCTCCCTGTAGAGAACAGGCAAACTAAGGGCACTTTACATTTGCAGTATATAATGGACACAGAAAACTCATTTGTTTTAAACGAAGATGCTGTGGTTCTCTTAAAAAAAAAAAGAACACCACGCAGGTATTTTGCATAAGGCACAGCAACCCCAAATTAGTATAGTCTTAATATTTGACGTTTCCAGCGATTAAAAATAAGAAGATCAGTTGATAGGAACAACAACACGCTGGTTGTTTTAAAACGTTCATCATGCATCTGACAATGTTGCAGAGACAACCTCGTAAAGAACGCGGAATAGGAGTTATCCACTTTTCTTGAACCCAGGCACTAGTCTATCACTAAAAGGGCCAACCCCCTTTTTCCTCCTAAGAGCCGTCGTCCTAATTGTTTAAATGGTCTGAAAACACCATTGGTATACAAACAAATGGCTGGACCTGAAGTTTTGGCCTCTGGTGACGGCATTTACCTCTTATTCTAAGTGGAAACAGTCTGCTCAGAGAAAGATCAAAGCCAACGTTTGCTCATATTGATGTTAGATTAGGCTGGTGTCCTGGGGAGTTGATCTATTTTGACTGTAGATATATATCTTGCAAAATGTTTCTGGAAATATATATAGGGACCTGTAACAACAAAGCAAAAAGCTCTAAGCAGAACCGCATGTAAACATCCCCTCATGTATTTTTTTTGGAAATGTTTGAACTCCAAACTCACAAATAAATTACAGTCCGAAACTCGAGCTAGGCGCTAGTTAAAGTAATAGTTTAAGTTGATTGAAAAAAGGGGGACACTTCGTTTTAGTATATTCTATCACATAAACGCGTAGTTTTTGATTTAGAATATATAAAAAATCAATTCAAATCCTGAGTGCAGGCACTTGTGGCTAGTCCCTGAAGTAGATTACCAGTTACACACAGTAAACACTGGGAAAAAACTGTAACACAATGGTGTAATGTGTTTCTTTTGACAAGAAAAAAGAATTTAAGGAAAACTACTACAAGACCAAAGACCCCTGGAGAAGTTACCAGCTATAGTAATAGCAACAAAATCCCAGGAGTGCCGTCCAGCTTTGATACGACCCCCCCCAAAGCCTCCAGCCTCTGTTGCCTCTGCGCCTATCCCAGTCCATCCCTCTACCTGTGGTCGACTGCCCAGGTCATGGAGCTTTTACCTATGGCCACAACTCCCTCCGAACTGCCGCACCTCTGCCCTCCACAAAGAGAGAGTGTTCAACCATGAGCAGAAGACCTCTTGGACCACACAGCCCACCTCTGCCCTGTGGTTCTGATCGATCAAACCCCTTTCTGTGCACGACAATACAACAGCTCGATTCTTTGCTGCAAACGGCGTAAAACTAGTGTATCAGCAGCAGAGCCCTCAGGTATACACCGCTTCCCTGGCTCCGATCGTTTCTCCCTCAGCGAGGTCTCAGGGGCACTACCGTATGGCGGGAGAAACCTCCTCAGAATCTACCCGGCCACTTTGCTGCAGCAGGCCCCCGATCCAAGAACGGATCACCCAACAAAGCTGCCCCCTCGATGACCATTCCCAACATCTTGGACAGTAAAAGGCGTCCTGTCGGGTAGGAAAATGTCCCTTTTTTAGAAATTTTTGAGCTCTATGAGTAAGAAATAACAGCTCATATTCAAAACAAATGTGTTTTATGTTACAGGGCAGGTACCAAAGCAGAATCCACAACAAACTTGAGAAAACAGGTAAATTCAAATGTTTACCAGTGAGTGCGTGGGCTGGGGGCAATACTAGCCTGGAATCCAGTCTGATATTCCGGCGTCATATGCTCCATAGTCCCCCAGGGCTTTCAAAGTGAGCAGACTCGGGTCCCAGGCCTAGTATTGCCCCCAGCCCAAGCTCTCACTGGTAAAACAATTGTATTTACCTGTTCTACTCAAGTTTGTTTGGGACCTCTCAGGGGGGGGGGGGGGGGGGGGGGGGGGGGGGGGGGGGGGGTGGGGGGGGGGGGGGGGGGGGGGGGGAGGGGGGGGGGGGGGGCTACCTGCCCTTTAACATAAAACACATTTGTTTTGAATATGAGCATGTAATTATCTCATAGATCTCAAAAAGTTCTAAAAAAGACATTTTCCCTACCCGCCAGGACGCCTTTACGGCCTCAGAAGTGGGATTCCATCGAGGGGCACAGCTTTGGTTGGGTAGATCCGTTCATGAGGGGGCGGCTGCAAGGCAAAGAGCCGGCTGAGGAGGTATAGCCTGAGACTGTGAGGGAGAAACGATGGAAGCAAGGGAAGCGGTGAACTGAGGGCCTCTGCTGCTGAACACTAGTATTAGCCGTTTGAGCAAAGAAGTGCTGTGATGCGTTGCAGAAGGTTTATGATCAGAACCCAGGCAGAGGTGGGCTGTGGGCCAATAGGGTCTGCTCCTGTGAAAACTCTCTCTTTGTGGAGGGCAGAGGTCGGCAGGTGGAGCGTGTGCGTGGCCATAGGTAAAGCTCCATGACTGGGAGTGACCACAGGTAGAGGGTGACTTGGGATAAGGCACAGGGCAAACAGAGGCTGGTGGCTTTGGGGGTCGTATCAAGTTTGGACGCGGCACTCCCTGGGATTTTGTTCTATTCAAGAGCTGTAACTTCGTCGCAGGGGTCTTTGGCGCTTGTAGTAGCTTTTTCCTTAAATCCATCTCTGTCCAAAAGAAACACATTAACCATTTGTTACGTTTTTTTCCCAGTGTAATACTGTGTGGTAAATGTAATTACTACTGCAAGGGACTCTGCCACAAAGTTGCCTGTCACAGGATTTATTTATTTTTTATAAATCTAAATCAAACAACTGAGTTAATTGTGAAAGAATAAAATAGAAAGATGTGTCCCCCTTTTTCAATCAACTTAAACATTATTGAAATAGCCTAGTCGAGTTGACATGTACTTATTTGGTGGAAGTTTTGAGTTTCAAACAATTTCCCAAAATAAATACAGAGGAATTTACATGGGTCTGCTGAGAGCTTTTGGCTTTTGTTACTGGTCCCTATATAGTAATTCCAGAAACATTGCAAGATCATTCTACAGTCAAATAGATCAAATCCCCAGACACCAGCTAGAAATAACTTTCAATATGTACGCATACGTTTGGCTTTCTGATCTTTCTCTGTAGCTGACTGTTTCCACTTAGAATTAAGAGTAAAGTGATCACCAGAGGCCAAACTTCAGTCCAGGCCATTTGTTTGTATCCAATGTGTATTCAGACCATTTTAAACAATAAGGACGCGTAAGAGGAAAAGAGGGGTTGTGTAGTGCATAACTAGTGCAGGGTTCAAGAAAGTGGATAACTCCTATTGCTTTCTACGAATGTTATCTGCTGCAACATTGTCCAGTGCATGATGAACGTTAAAACAACCGCGTGTTGTGTCTAGTCAAACGACTTCTTATTTTTAATCGCTGGAACGTCAATTATTAAGACTTTAACTATTGGGGTTGCTGGTGCTTATGCAAACACTGCTTGTGTTCTTTTTTTTTTAGAGAACCACAGCATTTCGTTATAACATAATGAGTTGTTATCTGTGTCCATTATATAACTGCAAATGTAAAGTGCCCTATTGGCGCCTTCTCTACTGGAGGCGCGGGCTCTACGGCTACACGTGCAGATTCTGGTGGGCAGTAGAGCTCTCACTTGATGGCATGTCACAGCGGAAGGCGAACAACATGGTACTATTCTTGCCCGCACGAGTTAATACAGTAGTCTGAAATAATCACGACTTCAGTATTGAGCATAGAGAGTTTTTCCCCGTCTACTGCTCAATAATAGGGATTGAAGAATCTTCTTTACAATCAATCTATGTCGGGGTTGTCCGGAACGCACGTGGTGAAAGGGGCGGGGTGTGAGCTGACGTCCACTCCAAGATACTACGCGCTAATCTTGTGCACAAGATAAAATAAATAAACATCTACAGAACAGTCTCCTGCCACAACACTCCGCTTATGCCTCACTGTGTGCACATTTAGCACATAGATCACAGCAGACCCACGCCATAACGGTGTCAAGGCTGGTCAAGGTCCTTATGTAAAAGAGCATTTCCCCGCGCCACCGCCCTGATCAATCATATTCTATATTCTCAAAGTTGAATGCGCAAAGCAGGGTCCTCTGCCCTTTTGTTTTTAACTCTCATATGGTGCATAAAGTCGGTTAGATGGAACATCAAAAGGGCTGAGTGGGGCGAACTGAAAGCAGATCCATTCTGAATCAATGATCCAAAACTCACAACTTGGGAGAAACAAACATCTTAATGCGAGTAATCCAAGGGAGGAATCCGACTAAACAGCGCGCACTGACACAACAAAGTACACAATAACAAGCATGGAACCGTTTGTTAAAGCTAATGTAATGTATCGTACAGTCCTGTGAATGCACATAGTGGCAGAGAAACAGTCCTTTCTGACCACAGTTCACCTCTGTATCGAATCACCCTGTTTGAGTATTCGAAGTAATCGTATTGCCACTTACCACGTGCTTTCTGTTGCAGAGCTTGTATTTCTAAAAACTGGCCGCATCCAGGGAGCGTATCGATGCTCATCCCGAACTAGTGTAGAGTTTAAAAAACGCGAAGAAAAAACAAGCACAAACGCGAACTGCGCCCTAGTATTACAGGGAGAGTTTCCAGTATATATGGGCTAGATGTAATAGGACACCCCCCAGAGGCAAAATCCACCACTTACGGTAGCAGCTAACAACAAGATGGCGCTTAATGTAGTACTAAGCACAGGAGACTAGGAACAGATAGGATATAAGTTTCATGCAGCGTCTGAGAGCTCCACCCACTCACACTAAACATGCGCCAAAAGGGGACATGTGAAACAGAACTTGAAGCAAGAATACTGCAATTTGACAATAATCATTCTTTGTATTGGCATAGTAAAGGAGAGGTCACAAACAAGAAAATCGCGACATATTCACTGATGTCTATATACCTAAACCAGGGGCCCTCAAACATGTCGCTCAATTTTACTTGCATATTCGCCTGTCGCCACATGCCTAGTAAACAGATTTTAATTCTTGGATCACATATTAAGAGTGAAAACAGATGTACAGCTACCCCACTAAAAAAATAAAAATCTATATATACGATTATATATATGATAGATACATAATAATAGTATATATATTCTATATAATAATATTATTATATATAATAATAATAATAATATGATATATATAATAAGAAGTATTATATATATATATAATAATAATAAAGAATATATAATAATAATATATATAGTATAAATAAGTAATATTATTTATAAATAATGAATAATATATGAGTATATTAGATTTGATATAGATTCATGCCATGGCCCAGAGACGGACCTCTTGGAAACAAAGTTACTTGAAGTACAACTATGGACATAGAATGCACTTTTATTTTCCTTCCTTCTAGTTGATGCATGTCGAATTAATCATAAAAGACGGGTGATAAGTTGATAAATAAACAAAATTCAAGAGTTGAAGTACATATCAGTATGCATGGAACAGTAATATTTCCCTAGTTAAAAAGGAACTCATAATGTTAACTTCAAAAGGAAAGACTGGGTTATTAAATATAGTCCAGTTAAGTCCAGGTGCTTTTCCACTCCGTGTTTCTAAACATTCATGTAAGAGGCGGAAACACAAAAAATAAAGTGTTATTTGTGTGAGACTATAGATGTTTCTGCTCCTGAAAGACGTGAAACCAAAACCAAGAGAGTATCACGAACACGACTGTGTGTAGGCAGTATAACGGCCACGCCCGCAGTAATATTGTATTACAGATATAAAAAATGTACATAATAGTAACTTGTTCAGAACATATTACAAATTGTAGTGATTTCGCCAGCATTGACTACAAGGTGTTGTGAAATCAGCAGAAAATAAAATTGTGGCCCGTCTTGTGCTTTACAGTGTGTTACCGTCGTAAAAATGATGAAGTCCTGTTGAGTTTCAAGTTTATTACCTGCAAAATTTGCTAGAAAAACATTAAAAGTCAACTTGAAAAAAAGAATTGAACTAAATGTTGAAAGCTTTCACTCTGCGATAGACCTCCAGCAGTGTGTTCTTGAGGAACGTTCAGAGTTGGATCATTGGTCATTTGTTTCTGACCCTCGACCCAAGCATCTCCACCAGTACATCTTTTTCCACAAACATCAACATTCAGCAAACATTTGAAATAAAACAGTCCCGGCTGCACATCAGGGCGCTAGGTTCTGTAAAAGGAACTCGGTTTTCTGTAGCAGCTTCAGACCTGTGGCGGTCAATCCGGCCTCGGGTTCTTCCTCTTTGGCACTGTGGCTGGGTTTGACACGTCGATCTTGCTCATTATTGGCGTGTCACATGTAGAGGGATGTGGGTCTATAGAGGGCAGCACGTTTTGGAGACTTTGTGGTGCTCTGGAAGCTCTCTTCACCTGCGCTTCTCTGTTCACGTCGTCGTTGACGTCCAGGATCCATTGTTTCTCCACAGCTGTCAATAAAGGCCTCTTTTCTTGCTTTCGAACAGGGAACTTGATTTAAAGAGAACCTGGGAGAAACACTATGATATTAATAATAATGAACAGTGGGGCTAAATAAGTATTAGTCAGCCAACGATTGTGCAAGTTCTTCCCAACTTAAAATAATGACGAGAGGTCTGTAATTTTCATCATAGGTACACTTCAACGAGACAGGAGTTGTGGAAAAAAAAAAATCCAGAATTCACATTGTAGGGATTTTTTAAAGAAATTATTTGTAAATTATGGTGGAAAATAAGTATTTGGTACAACTTCAAACAAGAAGTTTCTGGCTCTCACAGACCTGTAACTTCTTCATTTTAAGAAGCTCTCTGTCCCTCCACCGTTACCTGTATTAAGTGGCACTCTGTTTGAACTCGTTCTCTGTATAAAAGACACCTGTCCACAGCCTCAAACAGATCAGACCTCCATAACTCCACTATGGCCAAGACCAAAGAGCTGACGAAGGACACCAAAAAGAATGTAGAGCCTGCACCAGACTGGGAGAGATTGACTTTCTACAATAGGCAAACACGTGGAGGTGTGAACTAATCAACTGTGGGAGAATTATCAAAATGGAGAGACATACAAGACCACAGCTAATCTCGCCTCGATCTGGGCTTCACGCTAGATCTCAGTCCCGTGGGTCAAAATGATTCAAGAGAACGGTGATCAAAAATACCCAGAACCACGACGGGGGGACCTGGTGAATGACAGCTGCGAGAGAGCTTGGGACCAACACAAGTTTACCACAGTAACACACTACGAACGACTTGGGGAATCAAATCCTGCATGCCAGACGTGTCCCCACTGCTGAAGGCCAGTGCATGTCCAGGTCCGTCTGAGTTTGCCAGAGAGCACATGTATGATACACAGAGGATTGGGAGAATGATCATGTGTCAGATGAAACCAAAGTTAGGGAATTGTTGGTATAAACTCAACTCGTTGTGTTTGGAGAAGAAGAATACTGAGTGGCATCCCAAGAACACAAAACCTACGTTGAAGCATGGGGTGGAAACGGTCATGCTTTGGGCCGTTTTTCTGGCTAAGGGGACAGACAACTGATCCGTGAATGAATGGGGCCTGTATCGTGAGATTTTGATCAAAAACCTCTTCCATCAGTGAGAGCTTTGAAGATGAAACGTGGCTGGGTCTTCCCAGCAATGACAATGATCCCTAACACCCCGCCCGGGGCAACGAAGGAGTGGCCCTTAAGAAGCATTTGAAAGTCCTGGAGGTGGCCTAGCCAGTCGGTCCAGACTCAACCCCGTGAAAATCTGTGGAGGTAGTTGAAAGTAACAGGACCTAGCTGTGGTTGGACCTGTCATTATTTTAAGTGGGAAAACTTCACAATCTGTGGCATGCTAAATACTTGTTGCCCCACTGTAATTATATACAAAGTCCTTTCACAGTATCAATGTTGGAGGAGTAACGGAGATAACAGGTAGACGCTGTTACATGTATTAATGGTGTAGTGTGTGAGGTGTGTTTCAGGTGTGTGTAGGTGTTTCAGGTGTGTGTAAAAGTAAGAAGTTTGTGTAGTGAGTGTCTTATTGAGGTGCACGTTCATTTCTTTGCGTTTACTTCACAATTGTTTGTCCACAGTCGTTTCCATAATCTTTAGATTTCTTAACATTACCTTGAATGTGGTCATGACTATAATAAAATGTGGAAAGGTGTACCAGCGTAATAAAACACTTTGAAAGTCACTGTGTTCTCACCTGAGGGACTGGACCGACGCATAGGTGAATCCAAAAGTTGAGAACAATATCCTTGACGCAGTGAACATGATGAAAACAGTTTGTGCTGATGGCTATGACTAACTCGTAGCTCATGTGAGAGACTTTCCAGAAGAGCAGGTGACAGCCTCCACAGGACAACTTCCAGAGGCAGCCGAGCGCATCTGAGGCTTTTTGTCTGGAGCGCTTTGAGCCCACCTCTGGAAGCGTGAACGACAGCGGTTTCCGTGCACTTCTCGCAGTTTGCGTTTCTTAGTGGGAGAGACAAAAGGGGAACACTTTAGTTGTGTATGCAAATTTGCTTTACAGGCATCATAACATTTAAACATAACATGGTAAGTAATTTATCCACAGTAACTCACCGTATTCAGAGGACTTCTGAAGGTACTAGCAGCAATAGGACGAACAACTTTTGCACATCTGTAATGTTTAAAGCGAACTAAGGATTATTTGTTTTTCACAGAAAAGTTGGGCTTGCACAACTATTCCACCAGTAAATTACTTTATCATTGAACATATGTTTGACCACGACAAACATTTCCCATCAAACCAGTAGGGTAGCATAGACTAATCTAAAGCCATTGAGCAGAACCAAAATCAACACAGATGCTTAGGTGCTCAAACCCATGATTACATTTGTGTAATGCTAATCATGGTTTGTACACTGACCTTTGGACTGCTACAACAACATACTGCATTTTACACGACATTGACCTCATGTTCCTATATCACTAAACAGAGAACAACTGCTTATGAGTGTTTTAACTTCCAGTCTGTATTGACATTCTTACATATATTGTTTCATTCAAAATATTATTGGGTGAATTGTGAGAAAATGGTGAATAAATGAATCTGATTCTGAAACTATATTTATTTAATAACTCCAGATTTCCTGCTCAAGGAGCCTTAACACTTCTTCCGCCACAATGCAATTTGGAGACAACAGTCACAGAGAGTCTTTATGTGCTTATTAGTAGAGTCTGATCTTGCTAACAAAAAGACAAACACTGGTGATTAACAATACTGCTATTTTTGATTGACCCTCCTGAAAACGAGATGATGCATCTCAAGAGGCTTATACCTCGTAATGAAGATTAGTGTCATGGATGAGCAGCCCAGTGGAGTTAATGCATGCTGGAAGAAGAGATCCAATTTAATATGGATGTATGAGCAAAATTTTAAAGGTAAAAGTGACACACATTGAGTTCTACTCTATCTGGCACAAACATGCTGAAACCACGCCCAGGTTGAGTCCAAACTACATATATTAGGAAGATATTCATATTAAAGTCCATGTTTGAAAGACATACACATAATGCTCCAGTACATATGAACTGGACTTTGACTTGTAAAATAGTCCTAGCTGCTGGCATGTCACATATGCCTTCATTGGAACAAAAAATTCAAGACCAAATCATAACCTAACGACGTCACACACACACAACACATCAATGGCAGAATGTTGCCCATGCATACAGTAAAACCCACTGCTGTGTACAGCATGTGCACACACTTGACCCCACACTCCAGGGTTTTTGACTGATGAATGATGGCTGGACAGTCCGTCTGTGCTGGCGGAGGAGGGGTTGACGGGTTGGAGCAAAATATAGGTGCAAGTTGCTGCACGAACTGCTTTTGAGCGGTCGACAAATGCCACAAGGGAAAGGTCACTCAGTAGAAAAGGAACAATATTTTAAAAAGAAGATTGTGTGAAATAATCTGATAAATAAAGTGATTCCTCAAGGTTCGGCCACTTAAGTCGTCACACAAAAATGGACCACAATAGATCAATCATAGTTTTACGCCATGTAAACATTCAATATTTTCCAAGCCAATCATAAAGCTAAATAAGGACCACACAGCATCTAGAGTTTGCCATTCCTTTGGTGGCCACGGCGCTGCCCACAACAACAAACGCAACAAAATATACTATAACACAGTATATGAAGAAACAATGCCCATGTGTTACGCAAACAGCAGCAGGTATAGCTAAGACGGAACGTAATTCAAGTTTTGAAATTGTGTTTTAGGTGAAGCACTTTACTTGTATCCCCATAAAAACAAGGCAGCCTTTACCGGAACCATCACATCCGTCATAAAATCTCCAGGCCAATGCCCAATCGCATGTGTCCGCCCCTGGCAGAACTCTGTATAGGTCATCTTTGGCGGCACCTGCGGTGAGTACACCAAATGGGTGAACAGCAGTAGGTTTACTTTAGGACTAGCACAATATGTACTCGTGGCCAGTGACCCACAGAGGCCACAGAGCCCACAGAACCCAGCAGAGCAGGAAGCGAGGTCTGCACAAAATATATAACTGTTGTGAACAGTTGTTATTAATATATATCAGGAGGAACGGCTGGGCATATGGCAAAAAAAAGGAAAGAAATCCGATTTCAATTTAAATTGATTGTTTTTTCTATTTCAAACAAACTAGAGCTAAGACCAAAAGAAATTGATTTTTCCTTTATGCAGTTTAATCAAATTTCCCGCATGGCACATACGTTTAACAGGATATAGGCCTTAAACATGCTTGTAAAAGAGATGGCCCTGCCAGGTAAACAAGCAAAAATGTAGCTTAGCAGTTTTCTAATAACTTCACTTGCAGAGACATAATGCACCTCATGGCAAACGTGGGCCATAGCAAATATTTCAAATCGTATTAAACCACAAGGATTATTTACATTAAATACACATTTTGTAAAACTCATGATATAGCGCAAAATACAATTGTATTTAACAGAAAAGTCTTTTAAACAAAAGCCTCCTCCTTGGTTTGTCATGCTTGTTTCTTCAACCATGTCAGAGCAACTGGCTGTAGTAAAACGCTCGTCTCCCAGCGGTTGGCGCTATACTAACTTTAGTGGACTACTGCTTGAGCGGAGTTAGTTTCCGATTCTCTTCCTGTTTACATGTCTGCTACTGTAGCGCTAAACCTAGTGTTAAACTGTTTCGGCGGCGTGGCTTACGTTAGCGTTGCGTGGACCTACGTAATGCGCTTTCCCCCGTTCGGAGTTTTGAGGAGAATGTTTGAATCCCACAACTAACCACATTGAGGCGGATCACACAGGAGCGGTCCATTGTACCTGCTACTTTGTCCTCATCAGAACAACAATAGCAAATGACTCATTACATGTGTTTCTACTGCAGGTTATGTGATAGTTTTATGATTTCATAATTTTATAGAGGCATTTCAACTGTGGGAAGCTGGTGAATAAAGACACAGTTCTTGTTGGAACATAGTTATTATTAAATATTTTTCAGCAACAAACAGCAAAACAATAATAGGGGTAAATATCTGAGACAAACATGAACGTTTACGAGTGCAGGAGGAAAAGCAACAAACGCAGACATGAACAGTGCAAAAAAAACGACTGCACAGTTTTTAAAAGTTTCATACATATGTAGCATAGTCACAGTCTCCTGGATATCAGGCTCTGAGCCCAAACTGCTTTTCCTTCGAAGCACAAAGCTCTGCATCTCATAGTCCCATTGTCCCTGCTAGCAGACCGCTCCGTGCTTCCTTCCAATACACACACACGACCAATCAACAGCGGAGATTCTTTGCTTGCGATCCCTTACTAGTTAGAAAATTTCGATGCTCGCGGCAGGAAGACGTAAGGGGCCTTGCGGTGACCGAAACGCGTTGCGCAAGTGGAGCGTCACGTCACCCTCTGTAAGGTCCGCGCCGCGCGAGTATAAAGCTAGGCTTAACAGAGTTGAGCACGGAACACGTTGTTTGTCTCTGAGCATTGAGTGAGCACATGTGTGAGAACGTGTTCTCACACATATGCACATCTTATCTTATCTTATCCCAACTGCAGCACAAAGTGGGACAACGTGTGGTGCGCCATGGGGCGGGTCCCCGGCTCAAAAGTGGCCAAAATGACGTGCGCTGACAGGCTTGGCAAGACCTAACACATCAGGCCAATGGGGTGGACCCGGAAATAAGATTAGTCAATCGAACTATACATCTCTTACCTCCGAAAACACTTATAGGATAGTCCAAAAGTTCATGTCGTGTCAATGCTGAGGGGAGAGAATTTTTTTGGACCCGTCTAGTTGGACTCGTTTAAATGAATGGGGCTTCGTGCCGGCTGACACATGCGCAGATATTTTTTCCCTCTTTTCCAGCCACCGCGGCCATTGAATCACTCCATGAAAGTCCAACGCCTCTTTGGATAACGGCGTGAGCGGCTGAGACATGAATTAAAGAGGAATGCAAGAATGAAAAGTGTGGCATATGAGCAGAGCGAAGTCCGAAGCCAGGCAGGGAATCCTAGTCCTGTTGATGTGTTTCTGGCGATTCAATAAAGTACTGATTTCTTAAACGTCTAAAGTGTTAGTGGCAAAGCACCTAACGTGTGACAGGGTCAGGACAATAGACTGTTAGCATTAGGGAGGCTTTCAAAATGACTTAACACCCGCGGTTAGCGTATTAGCACGGTAGCACTGCGCAAAGCGAAGAAAAAAAAAATAACTGTTCATTAAAAAGAAATCGACTAAACTCAAATTCGACTTTAATAATTAAAATCAATTTATCGCCCAGCTCTACAGGAGGACTAATTATATTTTAGGGCTGTCAACAAACATGCGATATAGATTTTATAGTCTATAACTCTACTAACCCCTTGTTTCCTTCAGCTCCTCTTTCAATGGCGCCAAGGCGTTGCATTTCTTCCCCTACATGCAGCTATCCACCTGAACAAAGACACAGTTTAAAGCATGGTTAGAAGATGTCAACAACGCAAAACCTGTCCTGAGAGGAGAATAATAAATGTAAGTACAAAGGCAAAAGGATGAAAAGATACGGTAAACTAAAGACACAGCATTTGAGTCCCACAGTGGTGAATCGCTTCTCACCCCCAACAGTAACTGCACTGCAAGAAACTTGGCTATCCCACAGCAAAACAAAATGTCCTCTAGCCAACCAGTAAACCACGATGGAACCCCTTTTAAACACCCACAAAAGTATATACTTTTAAATGTTACAGTGAAGCATTG